TCTCGTCAGGGATCGACGAGCCGGCGAAATCGATATGCGCGATCCTCGACTACCACCAGCGTCACACAGATGCTCAGCGACTCGTGCTCGAGTCTCCTGCAGCGACTGACCACCAAGGTACGGGGTACGTCCACGCTGAACGACAACGTTGGTTCCAGCATCAACCTGGCCAACACCAAGTCTCGGATAGAGGACAAGTACTCAACAATCCTAGACAAGTACTCCAGGAAGAAACGTCACGAACGCGCCGAGCACCCGTCTACGGACTACAGACGCACTCGTGAGCGGGACCACAGCTACTTCCGGCGGGAAGACAGCCCGTTCGTGCGTGACGAGAAGACTCTGGAGCCCTCGATGACTCGCACGGTGGTCAAGAGTCCCACCAGCGTGTTGCTGTCCGAGAAAGCGTACCCCTACGTTAAGTCCTCTGCCGTGAAGGACTTCAAGCGCGAGAAGACACCCGGCTATCATCGGACCGACAGACACGGCCTTGCGAACTCCGAGACCTATCGCAGGTACGGCAGACACAAGTCTGGCCATGCGGAAACTCGTACTCGGAAGGTTAGACCGTACAGAAACGGCAAGAGCGAGCAACTGGAGAGCTCGTCGACGGCGCTGAGACTTGCACGACCCATGAAGCTAACCACCAAAGAGACGAACGACGATGTCGACCCTGATAAGACGCCGACCGGTAGCGTGATCAGGGATACCAACGTGGTACAGAATGCTGACTCGGAGGACTCTGATCCCGCGATCTCGGAGAGGGCCGCGAAACGGAAGGAGATACAGAGTCTGATCCTGAAGTACGCCGCCATGGAGGAGACGTACAGTCAGCTGGCCGCCGGTGGCCAGGTGAAGATGCGGCCCAGCACCACGGACATTATCGCCAGCAAGTATAGGAAAGGCAGCCAGCAAGGCGAGCGTAAAGACGCGTCGAAGAACGCGCCGAGTGTCGTTAACAACTCGGACACGATCCACCACGCGATTGTAAGTTGTCGAACCGCGCGCAATAATGCCTTCCTGTCGCCTGTGAACGCCAACGAGTGTTGTTTCGTTGAGCAGAGCGTGCCCGTTGCTGCTGCTGTTGTTGCTGAAACCCTTGCCTACTCCTCACGCGTGCCTGGTTTTGCGTCCGCTCGTTAACTGTCCTCTGTCTCACCTGGCTGACCGTGGCCGTGCCTCTTGCCGCGTACCAGAATTAATCATCAAGATGTGTTTGTTTGTATGGAGTCCAATGTGGACACCTTGGATTTTGTGTCTTGAACGCTGGGGATGATTCATGCGTACCCGAGAGTTCAGGTTTTTTAGTGCTGGGAACGTGTTTCCCAAGGTGTAGGGGAGATATGCAGTGCTTCGAAGGATGTTCGGTTTCATAAACATTTGGAGGGAAACACTTTGGGGTTTGATACACGATGGTGAGTTGTAGATAACTTAGAAGTTGCTGAGTTGAATTATGTATCGAACGCAGAGATTTTGCCATGTTTTTGTGTATGATGGGAGACATTGTAGGACTCGCTGGAAAAATGGCGATGTAAGGCTGGAAATTGCTTGTATTTGTGGTTGATACGTTTTGAGATCTAGAATTTTGCAGATTGTCTAGGAATTTTCAAACTTGGGAATTTCTAAATTTGCAAATTTAGGAATTTAGGAATTTAAGATGGGGGTTGTGTGATATGAGAATTTAGAGATTTGTAGTTTTGTAAATTTGAGAGTTGGGGATTTAAGAATTTAGAAATTTCGAGGTAAACATCTAGGGATTTAGGAATACAAGAAGTTGAAGATTTGAGGGATTAGTTTGGGACTTCAGAGATTACAGATTTAGGTATTGAGAAATTTCAAGTGCCACCTTTTTACATTTTTTTGCTCTCTTAGCCCTTTCAGGGTCCTATAGCGAGACTACTCTATAATATGCACAAGTTATAAACTAATTTATACTTGATACAATGTTTTTAATTCAAATATTTGACCACACAAAAATGGTTCTAATAAAAAATCAGTATTCATACACACAGTCTTCAATATCAATAATTTTAATCAATTCATCAAATCTATCAATATGAATAAATTAATAATAACCATTAGATTAATTCAATTAAAATATACAACATGAAATACATATTTTATCAACCACTTTTACATAAATTACGACAATGAAGTTAATACATATTATTCTTTTTTTATAAATCAATTAATATCAACATAATAAACCAAACAAATGTATAATGGAAACTTTTGCATACTCCCAAGTACATAAAAACAATTCTGTAAATAATAAGCGAATTTCTGATAAATAATAAATTGCAGAAAACACGCGTTACTGATGCCGAACATCTTTCAAAACACTGCGCTATTATATCTTTTAATAAAGTATAAATATACCGATTTGAAGACCAATCTAAAATAATCGCACGTTGGCCCAGTGTCAAAGATCCGTTGAACGAGCAATTATTCACGCAGTATCGTTTATTTAGTTTACCAACAACGATACCGGACATCTTTCGAGGCGCCATTGTAACACGAGAGTTTCGTACCCATATTTAAAATTAATTTCTTCCGTTGTTTTCTTTACTAAAAAAATTCATTGAAGCCAATTGAAAGAGTACCGTGGTCCTGTCCTTTTTTCTCCCACGAACTGTCCTGTTTAAATTCGTTCGAACGAAATCGATCACGAAACATCAGATCGTTTCGCGTTGATAAAAAAAAGGTAGGCTCGAAGTGTCGATCGATGCCGCGCTGTTCGGATGCGTCACGACGATCTATCAATCGATCGGTCGTCGTGAAGCGTCCACCTGGCGCAATCACGTAAGTACTTGAAGTTTCTGCAAACGGTTGACAATTAACAAAACACAGAGAAAAAAAATAACCTCTCCGAGCGTGTTAGAGAACTAGTAATACATAACGAACACTCTCGAAAGAAGCTGTCCGATTGTATTTTTCCAGCGATCGATTTTCCGCTGAAAATTGTTCAGGTTTGCACGTGACAAACGCGTCATTCACATACACGCGTATCGATGTTTAAATGTCTGACATGGGACGGTTTCTTCGAGACAGTACGAAGCTAATTTTAACATGAGTATACGTCTCTGCAATAAAAAGTAACGGGTCTAGGAAAAAGAGAACAGTAAATAACCGAAAAACATGCAAATGAGGTTAAGAATACGAGAGATAACGCTAATATATAATAATCGTAATTGTACATATATATATAAAAAAAAAGATCTGAAAAAAAAAAGAATGTTCGCTTTGTGCCGATGGTAAAATTCGTAACCGCAACTTTCTGACTTGGCAAACCATTTTGCCCTCTCCCCTTTCTCTCTGATTGTTGGGTTACCATCTCCGTTGTAATGGAATGGAATGGAATGGAATTGGATATGGCACACGGATTGGTCACTATGGTCGACTGGGCGCTCGGATCGGGTGGTTCTCTCTCTCTCGATGATGATGATGACCGATGACCGATGATGATGATGTATCCCCCCACTTCCTCCCCACCGACACAATCGTACGTTCGTCCGTGCTTACACACGTCCTCTCTACCGCGTGTTACACGGGTCTCCGCCCTCGTGGTGGTGGTGGATGATGGATGACGGTGTGTTGGCGATCGGTTGACTCGACGGCCCTGGATGATGTGGACCCACCTGTTTCACCACGACCCAATGGATCACGGCTGACGACGACATCGCTACTCTCGGTGGTCATCGCAACGACGCGAACGCTTGTCTCTGTCTGGTGAATCGACCGACGACCTACGGTGGGGAACGTTCTCTGGTCGGGGTCTCCATCGTGATACCAAAACACACGGGGGAACCGATCGTCGGACCACCAAACTCTCGGTGCGCTACCAACACTGATTGGGGCTCCTCTCTTGGTACGCGCCGCTGTTACCGATTTCCGCCGGCCCATATCTAGAGCCCACGACCGCCCTCCGTCGAGGACGACGAAGACGGCCACCTTGTTTACCAATCCGGCGACATCCTGGCAAATAGATGTTCGTGAATACGTGAATACACTCATTGTAGTATATTTAAGCAAGCCTCAGATCGATTGGTCGATCGATCGATCGGATCGGTTACCCACGGTATCTGCCCATCGTCTCTCTTTGCCTCTGCTCACCCTTTGCCCCGCATTTTTCACTCTCTCTCTCTTCCTCTCCTCTTTCTCTCTTTTAGCACCTTTCTTTCTTTCTTCACCTGTATCTAGTTGGAGCTTTCATATTTATCTAGTTTGATACCTTCAGAATATCTGTCCTATTCTACATTATGTTTCTCATTTGTTTTAGATAAAGTAGATCATTCTTCTACTCGAAGCAGTGGTTGAAAACGGTTGAGCGGAAATAGCGGTTTCTAGCTGGAATGATCGAAATTATTATTGGAAACGTGTGATGTTCGAACACAGTTTCAGGAATCTGTTATTGAAATAATATTCCAGGACATACTGTTTCAAGAAACGGATATCAGAACTGGTGAAATTTTCAAGAACTTTAGTTTGGACCAAATAATAGAACTGCGAGGAATATAAAATTTTAACAATCAAATTTGCTGAATCAAAATAAATAGAACTGTGGAAATAATGTTCAAGAGCCAAGACCGAGATCTTCTTTTGAAATCATGTTCAAGAACACGTAGTTTCAAAAGAGAACACGGTATCATAAAATTCGTAAAATGTTATTTAAGAATTATTATGTTTGATGGAGCAAAACATTAAAATAATATACAAGAACATCGTCGTTATAATTATAGAAATGATAAAGATTTTTTTGGACCAAGACAGAGATCATATCTATGATAAGGTTTAAGAACATAGTTTCTAAAACTATAACAAACATCATAATTTCAACAGATTTAGTTCTTGAGACTGCATGTTCTTGAGCCTTATCTCAAACTGTTGAATCAAAACTACTGTCATAATTATTAAAATGATGTTCAAGTACATGCAGTTTGAAGAATTAAATTTAACATTTATGATATTTGCGCAGTTGGTTCTTGAATATTATTTCAAATAGTGTTCGAGGATATATAGTTTTATGGACCAGTACCAATATACCTATTGAAATAATGTTCAGAGGACAGTCACAACCAAATGAACATAATTGTTACAATATAGTTCAAGAATTCTGATATAACTGTTAAAACAATGTCCACATACTAATTCAAAAACAACCGCTCTCGTAATCGTTTTCAATCTCTGTTAATCCTCTTCAAATCAGAAAACCGAAATATTTCTCAACATTGTGCAATACTGTGCACCTACTTCTCCATCAACAGTGTCATTAAAAAACTCTTTACCTTTAAACAAACTCCATTAACAGCTAACTTTCAAAATTTGATTTTAGAGATAACTTCCTCTCTGTACGAAACTTGGACTGCTTTCTTCTTCACACGAAGTCCAAGTTCCTAACTCTTGTCTAGTTTCTCTTGATCCAGAAACGTCCCATGATACTCCTACTATCATCGAGAATGAAAGCAAAAATAGAGAGACAGAGAGACGAAGGAAGCAGCAGAGACAAAGAGAGACTACGCTTGCGCTATTTCCTCGATACGTCTTCTTCGGGATGACGTGCTCCTCTCTGTTCAAACGGGCACACGAGGACATTCGACATTCGCTCTCATTAATCCTGATGGTTCTTTTTGTTCATTGTTTGAGAATGTTATTAGAAATTCAACCGTGTCAAGGATCATGCCACGGGACTTGATTGTCAATGTTTCATGTCCTCCGATCGCCGATTTTACGGTTAGGGTACCTCGGCCTTTAGGAGAGCAGCAGTTCCGATCGATAACAGAGCTCTAACGATACCGTTTTTTTCACTTGAATCATACATCCGTTCACAACGTACGGCGTATTGAACACGACCGACTAAACGTCCATCTTGAAGCACGTCCATGTTGCTCCTTCTTCGGGAGACTTCATTTTGTAGTCCTGGATTATTTAGTTGAGTTACAAATTTGTACGGACAATTTGATCGGACGGATCAGGTGAAGTTCATTAGTTCAGTATTTCATTGTTTGCTTCACCTGGTCAACCATGAAGAGTTTCTGATGCAGCAACATGGACGATCTTCGGTGTACGCGAGGTCTTCGCTCCACCCGGACACTTATCTATCTTTTTACGTTGCAGATAAAGTACTGGCCACCCTAGGAGAGGGTACTTTTGGAAAAGTTGTCAAGGTTAAGGACTTGCAAATGTAAGTGGCAGCTCACGTAACTACTACGTAGGTAATTCTACCTCGAGTCTGCGGCGCTCTCACTTTTTTTCTACCCCCATGCTTCACACCTCTCGTTGTCCACGTTTCCTCGCACCATCTTGCTCTTTCTCTGTCTCTCTGCCTTTCTATCCAACCGAAGACACAACACGATATCCCGAGTCATAGCAGGGTCAGAAATAGCCGTGCCGCACTGTCACAAAATGACGCGCAAGTAGTCGCAATAATAGGATGGCCTTGCACTTTGTTTTACTGGCCAGCCAGGCATCCTCGACGAGCGTCTCGGGCAAATTAAATCCACGCAAAATATCGCGCTCGAAATCGAACGACCGGAGAGACATCTCCGTCGTTTCCTCTTCGGTTTAAAGAGAAATAGCGCCCCGCTTGGTACGCTCGCATCCTAACGTTGACACACGATGCTTCCCGCCATGTGGAATTGTCGAACTTGGCCGTCCCCTGGACGCGCAACAACGTATGCTAATAACAGTATAATGACGTTTGCAGGGATCACGTGATGGCTCTGAAAATCATCAAGAACGTAGAAAAGTATAGGGAAGCAGCGAAGCTCGAAATAAACGCCTTAGAGAAAATTGCGACCAAGGATCCGGAAGGCCAACAGTTAGTATTCGTCACTGCCATTTTGTGGAATATGCTATCCAGTTTCATTATTGGAATCATGTATGATAGTGATGGGCTAATTAAGTGGCAGAAGAATTCGCAAGCATCAGTTTGCATGTCATTTGATCAAGTGTGCGAGAGAGAACTCGCCATGATTCAATTCTACGCGATGCAATTTGACCCGACTAAATTCGACGCAGTTCTGCTTAATGTAATTTAACTGTGATTCAATTCGTCCTGATTTAATTTAGCATTATTCAATTCACCAAATTTGAACTCTACGTAACTCAACTTGACATTTGATCCGATTCGACTTTTAATTGCTGTAATCCATAAGTACTGCAATTACTGTTTATCAGTACCACTATCTGTATTTAATAGACCATCACTGTACTCTATAATGTCAAACTTCATCCACCTAACACTTTATTATATTTCAGCTTGTGCGTGAAGATGCTCGACTGGTTCAATTATCACGGGCACATGTGCATCGCCTTCGAAATGCTAGGCCTTAGCGTGTTTGATTTCTTGGTACGTAATTCATACGTGGAGCAACAAATTCACAAATCCACATACAACACTACAACTGTTGGACATTTGCAGAGAGATAACAACTACCAACCTTATCCACTGGAACACGTGAGGCACATTGGGTATCAGTTGTGTTACGCCGTCAAATTCCTACACGACAACAAACTCACGCACACAGATCTGAAACCCGAAAATATATTATTCGTAGATTCCGATTACGAGAGCATATATAACAACAAAAAGGTGAGGCACGATGAGCTTGTTCGTGTGTAAATCATACTTATTGTTCATCCGATAATTTTATGCAAGATACACAATTAAGTATTATGCTCTGAAGTGTTTCAAAGAAGTTTCTTCTATTTAAGCGAAAGGATATTAGGCGCGTGAAACGAACGGACATAAGGCTGATCGATTTCGGCAGTGCCACGTTCGACCACGAGCATCACAGTACGATCGTTAGCACAAGACATTACAGGGCACCCGAAGTAATTTTAGGTAAGTTATATTGCGTATGACGTGTTATATTGCGACATTCGATCCACTGATTCATTATGTTTGTATAGAATTAGGATGGTCACAGCCTTGTGACGTGTGGTCGATTGGCTGCATCCTCTTCGAACTGTACCTGGGTATTACTCTGTTTCAAACACACGACAACCGCGAGCACTTAGCAATGATGGAGCGTATACTTGGCACGATTCCACATCGTATGGCTCGCAAGACTAAGACTAAGTATTTCTATCACGGGAAATTGGACTGGGATGAAAAGAGTTCGGCCGGCCGATACGTGCGTGACAATTGTAAACCTTTACACGTAAGTAATCGTTGCAAACGATCACATTATATAACCGCTTAAAGACACATTTGTATTTCATATATCTACTTTATATTTGAGCTCTTATAGCTGACGAAATGTTTGAATTAAACTTTTTAGAGAAAGTTAAGTGCCTATGCTATAAAAGAATAATTCATATATGTGTTAGAATCAGAGGCGTATATGTTAATTCCTAGATTACCATACTTCTAGACTTATACCTCCAGTAATTAATGTAATTTTTTTTCTGTTTTTATATAGCGTTGTATGTTATCGGACGATGAGGAGCATCGGCAGTTATTCGACCTCATTCAGAAAATGTTAGAATACGAACCTTCTCAGAGGATAGTACTAAAGGACGCATTGGCACATCCCTTCTTCGACGCGTTACCAGCACATCAAAGATTGCCGGACCTACGTGCAGCTGGTGATTCTCAACAATCTCACGAACGATCGCATTCTCTTTCTCGATGAAGCTAGGAAAGGGACCGACTTCCATACTGGACAGACACTCCACTATCAACGACACTACTGCCCTACGTAACGATTCTGATATCCTTGAGCCTCACAAGACTGCGTCTTTTGCGTGGTAACAAAATTCGATGACGTCGACGCGAATTATAACGAGATAAAATTGAAGTGAAACGATTGAAATAAAGAGGCTCGAAATTTTTAGTAGGAAATGTTAATTAAATCGAATGACAACGACACCGGTGATGTCGATTAAATCGCAAGTAATCGTATTGTTTATCGATAAACGTAAAATAAAGAATGAAAAAAGCAGTAGTGCAATGGTGCTGTGGAACTTGGACTTAACAAAATATGTCGTGGCGGATGATACCTACATCTCCGAATCAGGATACAAGAGAAATCATCGACACTCTCGTCTCGTCGTTTAAAGACGACGAAATTGGTAGACGGCCAAACTATACTTGACATAGTCCTTGTTACTGGCATGCAAAACGTGCCAGTGTGTCTGCTCAGTGTAGCGTAACAGAGTCCCATCATTGTAAACATTTTCTAAACGCTCTTCTGTACATTTTATCCTTTTAATTTTATTACGATGTTATCATGCAACAAAGTTTGGAGTAAAGGAAGAGGTCGCAGTTTATACTCTGTTTGTTATAGATTGATGACCATGGCGTGTTTAATAGTAAGAATCAGACTTAGCGAGTAAGACAAGTAAATATTATTGCGTACGTGTTGACATTAATTAAGATTAACAATGGGGAGAAAGTGAGAGCGAGAAAGGGAGGGAGTGCGTGTGAGGAATTCAATGGACGTCAGTTTGATCGTCGTGAAGTACACGTGTTAACGTTGTCGGAAAACCATAATACGTATGTGGTTATTTTTAGAAAAAATGCTAACATGTTTTGTTTTCCGAAACTCTGGAGGAAGATAATGCGAAGCTGTTTCTTTTTTTTTCTTTTTTTAGTTCGGCGTAGAACTGAATTTCGTTGTATTGTCTCACGAGGTCGCAGACAATCACGTGTGCTTTCAGTTTCATCAGCAATCTACGAGATGAATAGAAAGAAAGTGTGAGACGAATTTGAATTTCTGAGTAACCAATACACATGGGTTCACGCGTGTATTGCCTGTATCTGTGAAAAGTACGAGCTTACGTACATAAAGGACGTCTCTGCTTTTTACTTCGTTCAATAGAGAAACACCTTTAAATTATAAAAACTCCATCACTTATGTGCGTCTTGTTTGTCCTTTTTCGGTTCTTATTAAATATACCAACGCGACGAAAGTTTAAAAAAATGTCTGGCTGCTCGTGCAAAGAAAAAAAATGTGTCCTGAGCACTGTGAGGAATGCTGTTTCGAGTAGCAATAAACACATTTCTTTCAAATAATCATTTGAAAATGTTTATTCGTTGAATCATTCATTAAACTTATCATACCCAATAATTTAAAACGGTCGGTAGTGATAAATTTATACAGTTCGAAATTAAATCGTGTTCCTGGTCGAATTAGATATCTATACACTCATATACACGGACACTCATGCTAATTATTCACATTCGTACAAAGATTTAAAATAGTTATATGGAGACCTGCTCAACGGACTTTTACGATACCATGCCAAATAAGAAAAAAAGGTAAGTAAACGCGGGTCGCGTACATATTCATACGCGACATCATATTCGCGTTTTATCAAAGCTTTGCTTGTAAAGATGATAGTATAAAACAATTTATGCTTTAGGCCACTGATAAACTGGAGGTACTGATGGTGTGTAACAGGGGTCATATAGTTGGTCTTTAATGAATTGCTTGTAATCCTTAGGCTCTGGATGAACTGTTGCAAGACCTAAACAAAAAGAAGTAAACGTTTATATTATACAATAATTGATTAGAGCGACAACTGTGCACACTGAAATACTTGATATCATTTTCAGAAAACATTTTCTTACATTTTTTATAACCGTATTTCATGACTGCCGTGGCTATCGTTAACGAGCACTTCTGGATGTCTTGTAATGGTGGATACAGGTTTCCACTCTCTAAATCTTCTTCGGAAACCATTTCAGCTAATGTTTCAGCAGCAATGAGGAATGTCTCTTCCGGAATTGTTTTCATACCACTACATATTACACCCAACGCTACTCCAGGGAAAATATAACTGTTGTTTCCTTGACCAGGAGTGAAAGTTTTGCCTTCATACGTTACTGGATCGAACGGTGATCCACTAGCGAATATACATTTTCCCTAGAAATATAAAAATGATCAAATTTTAATATCTCTTAGTCAATCAGTAGACTACCGATACACTTTAGTATAGTACTTGAGTAATCCTCAGGAGTACAACCCCTATTTTAAAAGTTTTACACATACCTTTGTAGCAACATAAGCTTGTTCGGCAGTACATTCTGCCTTACTCGTTGGATTGCTGAGAGCAAAAATTACAGGTCTTTCATTGTTCTTTGCCATTTCTTCCAGTATTTCAGTGGTAAAAGCACCGCCAACTGCAGCAGCACCGATAAGAACCGTAGGTTTCGCGATTTTTACCACCTCCAACAAAGTGTTAATTGGCTTATGATCTCGAGCGAACTCCAATTTGTGCTCCGTTAGTCCACCACTTGGACGATTCTTGACTATTAAACCTTTCGAATCAACCATCCAGATTTTTTTCCTAGCTTCCTCCTGGTTAACACCTTCCTCCTCCATGGCCATGACGCACAAATTTGCGATACCTAAGGAAGCCTAGAGAAAACCAATTCAATTATAATTGACTGTAACAAACATTGTATGTGGACTAGATTATTAATTTACCTCTCCAGCTCCTTGAAAGACGATTACATTATCCGACAACTTTGTATGCGTAACTCGAAGAGATGCCACTAAACCGGCAACAGCGACAGAAGCGGTTCCTTGGATATCATCATTGAAAGTACAATATTGATTCTGATATTTAATAAGAAGGTTGAACGCATTGGTGTTTCCGAAATCTTCAAACTGTATCAAAACATTCTGTCCATATCTTCTGACGGCCGCAGTCATGAATTCTTCCAGGAACTCATCATATTCTTTACCAGTGACGCGTTTATGTTTATGGCCGATGTACAGTGGATCATCCAACAAGGACTGAAAAATGAAATCATATTTTAGAATATATTCAAGACTAATGTTTGATGATTTAAAATTAATCATACCTGAGTATTAGTACCAACATCCAGAGTGATAGGCAAACATTGTTGTGGTTTGATACCAGCCAGTGCAGTGTACAAGGACAATTTGCCAACAGGGATTCCCATTCCATAGGCACCCAGATCACCAAGTCCAAGAATTCTCTCACCATCAGTGACAACTATGGCTCGTACATCGTGTTCAGGCCAGTTTTTCAGGATATCGTACACGTAACCTTTGTCGTGTATACTTATAAACAAACCACGGGGTCTTCTGTAGATTAGGCCAAACTTCTGACAAGCTAGACCCACTGTTGGTGTGTATACCAGAGGCATCATTTTTGCTACATCCTCACCCAACAGGCGGTAGAAGAGCTTTTCGTTTCTGTCCTGTAATGTGCATGAAATTAATGAAGTGGGTTACTTTAAATTATTAGATTTGAAAATTTAGATTCCTTAAAATTATCAGAGCCAATTGAAACACTTCAGGTATTTAATTTATTAAATGAAACTTGTGAAAGAATATAAGAAAAATTGAGAAGTTTATGTGATGTATCATACCAGCAAGCCAATGAGATAGATGTATTTTGAGAGGTCATCTTGATAGCGATCCAGATTTAGTTTACATTGTTCCAGTTGCTCTTCCTGAGTTTTCACCACTGGTGGTAGAAGTCCATGAATACCCAACACTTGCCTTTCTTCAAGGCTAAATGCTAGACCCTGAAATAAAATATTCCCTTTAATGTAACAAGAAAAGTTTTGTCAAGTAATAATTGTATAACAGATTATAGAAATTGTAATTATAACTTAAATATCAAATAATTCATAAGTGAATTATTAGTATAAATTAATACTATAAGTATATACTTTACAATTAATATTTTTGACTGTAAAACTACAGTTTATGAAAATTGGTGAATAAAAAATAATTGTATATAAATGTTGATTAGGGTACTTGTTGCTAAGAAGTGGAATTATTTCCTTCAACAAAAAAAAACTAAATCAATATATTTATTCAGTGATATATGAATGCAACAAATAACCATGAATCATGCCAAGACCTTGACAAGAATTATTTGATTGCTCTCTGAATTGGGTTAACGAGAGAATTCCTGTGCTGGTGAACGTGAGTGAAAGGCGATCAGCTGTTTATAAGTATGACAATTAGTTTCTTAAGGATATAACTTTCAAAGAATATATGTACGCATTCTTAAAGGAAATCGGAATGAAATACAAAATTTTTAAAAAGAGTACAATGAACTCTCATACAAGTGCATAAAACAAAAAATAAAAACTGATACAGTAAATAACTCGGAATTTATAGTTTCCGAGTTGTTAGCATAAAAAGCTTTATGTTTATGCTTTTTACTGATACTGTGCTAAAAATAAGTTATCAAGTTAAAACATGGGGGAACAACTTTATTTATGCAATGTCTGTACAATCTTGCATGCTTCAAAACATATAAACTTGTTTTCTTCAAAATTGTATTATTTCATTAAATGAGCGATATTGATAACGCATATTGGTCACTGAACTGAGAATTGTCAGCAATATTAATTGTCTGAGATAACCATGAAAATGTATTTAGTAAACAGTTTAAAAATAAGTTGTACGAATTCGCATGTTTGAATTTCGCGCGCAAATACGACCTAACGCAACACTATCCGAACGTTTGGGGTACGTTAGGTCTGCTCCTGGTAGTCGGACAACATGAAGACGCAGGAGGTGCACTGTGCGACGGAGAGAAAATATTTGGTACAAGAAAAGGACAACAGATGTGCTACACAGCTATGCTGCAAGCTAGTAATGCATCTTCGCATGAAAATGGAGTCTTGCTAATTAAATCAACACCGACGTAAAAATAGTCGATAATCTACGAACAACTTGTGTATTACGATTGCTTCTCCAAATTTGTAATCGGTGAGTACTGTATGTTTGACGATATTCAATGTTGGCAGCATTATTGTTTAATGTCAATATCTTCAATATATACTTGACTTTAATAGGTTATGTAATAAAGAAAAATAATAATACATTATCTATCGTCAGTACTATTTTTGAAACGTTGCATTAATAACAAAGAATTGCATAAACTTATTTAGACGAATTCGGTTTTCGTTTGCTGTATTTCGCGGGTAAATAGTCTGCGTAATGCCACCTAGTGGATGGTGTTTTCGATAGATTGTAGTAGCTAAAGAACATGAAAATGGAAGAGGTGTTTGTAAAACTGTGCTACAAGAATGGATACCAAAATGACGTGACCATAAATAAATTGTAATAGGCAAATATATAATTTGTATTTTGCGAATAATTTGCGCGATATTACACTGCTTCTTAAAATGTTATAACAACGTATTGTACATCATTTTTACAATATTCTGACGCCATTAAAGACGTTGCTATCGTCACATGCACGTGGAAATTTGAATAAGTTATTCATTTATGGTCAATAATTTATAACAAAGTGACGTAAGAAAGTAGTTTCAATATCGGAAAGCTTGAATGATTTATAAGACAGATAATTATTGAGAACAGTTGACATTCGATGACGTCATTGCTTCAAAAACTTACTAATTCAAGCGGAACATATGTGAAGTTTATATGCGAAAATTTCTAAGATTGCATATTTTAAAAAGCAATAGACAAATTGCATAAATTAATTTTAGAAAGCATTAGATAAATTGTTTATAAATTATTCATAAGAAACGAACTAAATTGTTCAGTTGATAATCCATTTAATTTTGGCGCCATTTTTGGTGGGCGGTATGTACACCTGATCATCTACATCTAGGCGCACAAATCAAACACCTCTTCCTCTTTCATATTCCCTAGCTACTGAAATCAGTCAAAAACACCATCCACTAGGTGGCATTGCATAAATTTTTAATTTGCCAGTGAAATACATCGAAGAGGATCAAATTTTGTGCAGTTAATCGATGTAAGTAAATATAAATATTCTTTAATACGTTCATCGTTATTCTTAATCCACTCTGCTAAAAATAGTAACGATGATAAACACTATAGCATCATTGATTCTTCCTTATTACGTCATCCACCAGAAATATCTACAGTATTATTATAGATATTAATATTATCTAACAAAAAACATTTCTAATGATCAACAGCATCGAACATTTATGACATAACCTGCAAGTTATTGATTCTTATTTCTCGAAACCCATATAACTGTCTTGTGCATGAGGTTTATTGAACAGGAAAAATTAATAACCTAAATTCTTCTCGTAGCCATCCATACGAATATGTGAAATATTTAATATAAGAATATTAGCTAAATTTCAATGAAATACGTGTTTATATACAGGGTGTCCCAATAAAATATACACCTTGAATATCAACACCAAATAATAATTAAAAATATTATAATATAAAAATATTTCAATATAAAAATATTAAATATTTTTCTAGGTTAAGTATGCAAATTTATTTATATTATAAAAATGAAATTAGAAGTGATGTGTAATTTACTAGAAGCCAAATGATTAGAATTTGCAAGCCAAGCTATAATTTGCGTTCAGTGCAGCGGATCAGCAGATAAAGGTAATCGATACCGATTGATTTATGAATCAAATTAAACAACTTTCTACTACTTATAGCATATTAATCAATCAATGATTAATGACAGTAATATTAATATTGAGGTATTCCTTTAATTACACAAATATCAAATTATCTTTAATTACTTTATCATGTTCTTGTATGGAGCATGCAATATCAATTCCTTATCATAAGTGAACACTTCTATTTTTTATGCATTTTCTGATAACAGTTTTAAGTGTTATATTTTCTTGATTGAACACACAATTTTAATGATGATATCTTGTTTTACAATTGCTGTAGCAGTACGGCTGAAAATTTAAAAAAATATAATTATAATTTTGAAAAATATATTAACAAAAATGTATATGCTATACATATAAAAAATAAGAAAAATGAATAAAATGTTTAAATTATAATTTATTATCACAAACTGAGTATACAAAATTTGTTACAATTATTATAGTGAAATGAGCGAATGTTTTGTCTCTATATTACCAGTAAACAGTATGTCGATACGGTTTCCTCACTTTAATTGCATAGGAAGTAACATCATCCGACATTATGCACGCAAAATGCAAAATAGAGTGCAACGTTTGATTAAACTCGTCTGACACCATTGATTACTTCGTCTGCACCGTTTCCTTTTACGACAATTTAGTTTGTATTATTGCAACTGACAATGAAAAATCGATATGCGATTAGACAATTAGATATTTATCGATCATTCGACCATTCTAAAATTCATAATATTAATTTTTTAATTATTAAATAAAAAATCGATGGCAGTAATTAAAAAGAGTAAAATGTAAAGCGAAATTTTATTTTTGTTTCAACTTTAAATAAAATCTAACCTAACGCGATCTAAGTTAACCTAACCTCAAACATAATTTTATCATCCAAGTCTATTCGTACTTACATCTAATTTGTTTCGAATTTATTCTAACGTGATTTCAAATACCAATGACAAATTTAATTGATCATTTTTGTATTAAGTTAGGTTAGAAATTTCAGTGGCAAATAATCCATTAAAATTAAATGTTTCATTTTATTTTCTACATATCAATGATATTATCAATATATAAATATTATTGATATTTATACAAATGCCTGAACACGTAACTTCATTAAAAAAACGTCTTTTGTTATTCTAACTGCAATTTACATACTTCAATGTACAATTATAAAAAAGAACGTTAATGTATTATATATGTTCATGTGTATCACGCGATGAGAACACTTTGTGCTTGTTATTTTTGTAACATGCAAATCTATTGTATTTAGCAATCATTTACAATCGTTCAATTCTCTCTTGATTTTCAACGCTTATTTAAACGCTATAACACTGTTAATGCTTTTTATCAAAGTAATTATTAAAACCAATCTGATTTTAAAATATTATTTATTACAGATAAGTGTGTGCATAAAAAAAGACTTTAACTATCAGACAGATTTTTCACTTTTATATGTCAATCTTAATTTTTTAATTTTATGTGTCAATTTTAATTTTGTAATTCTATATGTCAACCTTAATTTTTTACCTCTGTGTGTCAATTTTAATTTTTTAATTCTATATGTCAATCTTAATTTTTTAAATTTATATGACAATTTACATTTTTTATTTCTATGTATTAATTTTCATTTTTTAATTCTATGTGTCAATCTTTAATCTCTAATTTTTAATAGTATATGTCAATTTTTAATTTTTAACTTTATATGTTAATCTTGATTTTTTATTCTTATGTGTCAGTACTAATTTTTTAATTGTAAACATCAATCCCAATTTGTTAATTTAGTTAAATATTAGGAGTTAAAATTGACTACTCAATTAAATAACGATTTTTCTGCAAAAAAAAAGTATTTCCAGCAACGTATAAAAGAATTATAATCAAATGTCCTAGATTCCCAGCTACCAACGGTCCTTTCTCAAAAGATTCCATTAAACACATGGTGCTCCTTGATCAAGTCGAACCGGACGGTATAAGGTCAAAGCACCCGTTAAAAGCATAGTATTTTTCCACTAGCAACGAGTCTTTGGGGTCGTTGACAATGCTTCAATGTTCGAGCTAGACCAATCGCCAACAACGTCAATTGACTTATAAATTATAATAACAGTACGGGGCCGATAAATGTCCCTCTATCTTACTTTCTCGTACATTTCTCTTACAAGATAACTCGTTCAAATCTTTTCAATTGTTCTTTAACTTGTTACTTTATAACCCTGAAATATTTTCACAATGTCACAAAGTAATTGGAAAAATATCTAGTTAAATACACTACAGTAATAAACATAATTAAATACGCTAAGTCCCACAATATCAAGAAAATTAACAATAAACCTAAAACCACAAAATGGCTTCTAACATGCGTAAGCCGATAATCACGTTCCACAATTAAAATAACGCAGAGCGAAAAAAGTGTTCAATGACAAACATTCGTGACGTAACTGTGCATTTCCTTGGAACTTGCGTACCGTATTAAATTACCATGCACAATCGGTTATAAAATCCCAACCAGTTTCAAAACAAAAATTTCAAGGACGTCAAGGACGAAGATTTCCCGTACGAGGAATAAAACAAAAACGAACGTTCGGAGGAAATGAATACCCTTCCGTCAGCAGCGAGGAGAGGTTCAGGAACCCGCGTCGTTCTATGAAAATCAGGAACAAGGTCCCACCAATCCGTGTCCATTCTTCCGTGTCTTACCCATGGGCGTATTATACTACTTCTCCCGATCATCTCGAGTCCCATGGTAAACAATTAGGCGATGGAAACCGTTGCTAGGCTCCTCGAGCTTGCCAGTCCCTCGATCAATACGCAAGCACTCTTACTTCTTTAGGGTTCTCCTGGTCGCAAAACGTGCCACGACCTAATGCAAGGATCACAGGCTCGTTCGAAACGGGACTTTGCGTATCGCACGTAATCTGAATGCGCCGTTCTACCGGCAAGTCGGATCCAGCCGTTATACTAACACGTGGGTAAATCCTTGCGTGGAACGGACACCGGGATACGACACGAGATACCCGGAATTGAGTCGAAATTTTTCCACGAACTTGGAGAGGTTAATAGACTGGATATTTGAGAATATGGACTCCTGGGACATGCTTTGAAAATTGGTAAATTTGGAATTTTGGAAGATTGGGACTTTGGTGAATTGGATTTTTGGGATTTTGGGACTTTAATGCCTTGAATTTTTGGGATTTTGGGGCTTTGGTACCTTGGATTTTTGAGATTTTGGGACTTTGGTACCTTGGATTTTTAGGATTTTGGGACTTGGAGATTTTGGGACCTTGATGCCTTGGATTTTTGGGATTTTTGGGATTTTGGGACTTTGGTGCCTTGGATTTTTGGGATTTTGAAATTATAAAAATTTGGAACTTTTGTGTCCATTTTAGAATTTTAGAATTTGTAGAATTTGTAGAATTTGCAGAATTTGTAGAATTTGTAGAATTTGTAGAATTTGTAGAATTTATAGAATTTATAGAATTTATAGAATTTGTAGAATTTGTAGAATTTATAGAATTTATAGAATTTGTGGAATTTTACAATTTTACAATTTTACAATTTGAACAACTTTGAACTTTGGGACTTTAGAATTTTGTGACATTGGAATTTTTTAATTATGGAAATTTGTAACTCTTGAAACCCTTTAAAAAATGTTAACTTTGGGTCTTTAGGACTTGTTAACTTTTGGACTTAAAGATCTGTAACTCTAGAATTTTTTAACTTTGGATCCTGATAATTTTTTGGTTTTGTTACTTCGACATTTTGTAATTTTTAAAAAATGGAAACTTGAGGGCGTATTAACAAATGTTGAAACTTCAGGATTTGAACAACTTTAAACTTTGGATTTTGGATCTTTAATACCTTGAAACCTGCTTCAAAATTTTCAAAACTTCAGAATTTTTCAACTTCAGTTTTAGATCTTCCAATTTTTATAATTTTTCAATTTCAGTTTTAGATCTTCAAAACTATATAATTTTTCAACTTCAATTTTAGATTTTCAAAATTTCATAATTTTTTCCACTATAGTTTTAGATCTTCAAAACTATATAATTTTTCAACTTCATTTTAGATTTTCAAAATTTCATAATTTTGAAACTACACGACACTGAAAATTTTTTTAAATTTTGCAACTTGTAAACTTAAAAAAATGAGAGAATTATGCATTTCAAAAAATAGCAAAATGCAAGATTTGAATTTAGGAATTTATCATTTTAAAATGTAAGCAATTAAAGAAGTTTGAAAATTTAATAACGCAGTGTCAAGTTACCTCATTCCTTTCCATTTAATTCAATACGATCCATAAACCGCAGTCGGTATTCTATTTGCAGAATATTAGTGATAGGTATTCGCCTTATCAAAGGACACCGGTACGCGAATAATATTGGAATTTAGTCAAGCCTTATCGAAATCAGAATAAATAAGATAATTTTACAATTGCAGATCATTGAAAAATGTATAAGTTAGATAAGTGGTAATTATGTACTTATGAAATTAAAAGGTAATTTACAAGTAGTATAATTTTATATCTGCTGAAGGTCGCAGGAAAAATTAATTTTAGTGAAGGTTATTGCGTGTCTGTGGTCCAAGATATAAAATCCATCGTATTAGTCACAAAGTGTCGCGTTAGCTGTAAAATTCCAGGTAAATTTCGCAACGATCGAATGTTTCCGCCTGGAGTGTCCATTTTGCTTAGTCATCGAGAAAATAATTTCCGATTCCGCTGTCATAAACTTAGCGAGCTAAAAAATAAACACAGTCTGCATCGATATATTTTTAGCTAACTTATGATGTTACCATTCTTTTAACGAATAAATGGAACCATTATCGGTCTTATTTTAAACAAATCTGCGATAATGACATTACTGTACGCTTTTATTTTCCCTCCAATTTCCTAACCTCAAACACCGATATTACATTTGTATAAATTATTCTTAAACACGATCTAATTCGCTTCGATTATGCAAGAAAAATTTGCATGAACATTAAACTCTAAGACCAGTTTAAATTCTTGTTACCTTATGAATAATATTAACTGCAACTGGTTATAAAAAAATGTCACCAGATGTACCGCGAAAGTTCAAGTAAATGTCGAGTAAGATTTTTGTTCGCTAATCGTAGCAAAGATGAAAAAAGTGCGACAGATAGCAGTTTATCATTCGAGTAAAAAGCACCTGTTTCATCATCCAGGTTGTCATAGGGTCTTTAGTTCCGTTCGATTTTGTGGAAACGAGAAAGTAAATTTCACGGAAACACGGACGCTACGTGACCGATACAACGTAACATAATTATCCTCTTACGCAGTTTACGAGCTCTTCACCACGTTAGGTTATGTCCGCACAAAGTAATATTCCATGCAATTTAATTTAAAAATTTATTCCGTTTTATGGATACTTAGAACAATTTTGCGAAATTAGATTATGTGTAATTTTACTTTGACCTTGATTCGTTTCATTCATGAATTATGGTTTCATATAGCTTACGTTAGAATGATGGAAAGTTTTCGGTGGGTCTGACGGACTATATTTAAATTACAAATTTTGTGCCTGAAGTCAGATGGTAAATAATGGATTAATTTTATTGGTTTTAACAGTTGAAAATTTGGGACTTCAAGACTTTTCAAATTTGGGACTTGAAGATTTTTTAAATTTAGAACTTAGAAATTTTTTAATTTTGGGATCTGAAAATTTTTATTTGAATTTTTGAACTTAGGAGATTTTTTAATTTAACTTTGAGAATATCCTGAAATTCCTAAGTCCCAAAGTTTAAAAATTGGAAACTTCCTAAGTCCCTAAGTTTAAAAATTAAAAATTTCCTAAGTCCAAAAGTTCAAAAATTGAGAACTTCCTAAGTCCAAAAGTTAAAATTCCAAATCTCCAAGTCCCAAAGTCAGAAATTGAAAAATTTTAAAATCTTCAGTTTCCAAAATCCCAAGTTTAAAAACTTCAAACTCAAAAAATCCATAAATCTCAAAATTCAAAAATCCCAACTGCAATTTTCAAAAACCACTCATTTTTCTATTCACTTCAATATTTCACATCCCGCACATCAGCTGACCATCGATGGGTCAAGGCCCATGGGCATCGTTGCCCTAAAGAAAAGTTTCCGTTCACCAGTGTACTTCAAAAACCATAGCAACAAAATAATAAACAAGAAATACTGTCATTTCGTATTACACGTGTATCAATTGATGATGAATTGTTTCATAAAAGAAAAACTATGAAATTAAATCAATATACGTGCGAAAAGTATTTTTACCGGCAAACTATACTACATTAAATTAAAATACTTTATGCACTATAGCGTACCTTATTCAATTGAGGGTTCTTCAAATGATCAAGGCCACGTAGTAAACTCGGGCACACGGCATCTCCCTGTCCCCGTTGCCCAAGCTGATCCCTGTGAAGAGTCGACATCGTAGTTTCCTCGACGCAAGACAACTGGTCAGTACTTCGGTTTCTACAAACGACGAGCGAAGTTTTAAGGCTGATCGAGAATGTCGGTACGGCAGAACGCAGTACCGTACGGGAGAGGTGAGATTAGGGCGAGGGTAACTCAGCCGCGTATCAATCGTGTGGCGCGATTCGCGCATCTGTCAGATTCGTTTTTTGCGCAACATTGCAACTGTAATTATTCAAACTATTTATGGACTAATGAGTGTTAGATAATATAATTTATCGGGAGGTCAAGACTAACAAGGGCGTTCGTAATGATTTGAAGGCTGCGAGTTTCGCAATAATTATAATCTTTCTAACCCTTTGATAACTGAAAATATACTATGCAAATACGAATTCAGATTTTAAAATAGAATTTTTGCCACCGAAAATCTTTGTATAATGACTTTAAGGTATATACACAGTTTTGACGTTATGAATTTATTGTATTTTTTTTTATTGCATTCTTTATAAATATTATATTTGTGGTTGGATATTGTATGAGATGAATTAATTTATGAATATATAGGAATAGTGATTATAGCGAAGTAATTAATTTTAGTGTTAGAAAGAATCGGAGCCCGATGATTGCATGCTACGGCACTGGGCGTATAAGTATTACAGCGCAGGCGCGCACATCGCGCAGTCGCACGTCTGCGTCCATCGTGCGAGGACGGTTTGACATGTTATTTATGAAATATATCACAACGACGCATGTACTAAAAACGTACTGAGAATGTATTGTACATTCAAATATTTTGTTACGTCAACCGATTTTCGTTCAAACGAACCAGGAAAAAAGCACTTTTAAGATTCATTTAATCGTTGCGTCAGTTTACTGTAATTGTATGACATTGTAATCAGTTTACTGTAATTGTATGACATAAAGGAGGCCCTTACAATTATTGTAGATAATACAAGTATGTAATGAATGAATTCTTATAGAAGTCTATGAAAATCAACATTTGCTCTTTTACCTGCAGAACAGCTGAAGCCACTGTTTAGTGACAGGTTCAAGGACTGCACTAGCATAACCTGAGCATCTCGACGGACATAGAACGCTATTAAAGTAACACTTTAATCGTAGCAACCTACGCTCAGACATAATCACGTTTTTCGAAGATTATTGCTTTCGTTCGATCTGACATCGCTCGGGACACTGTTTTAACTACGATCCAGATTAAACGTAAACTACTACGCGATGTCATGTCATGCTGATAAGTTGGTAGCATGGGTCACGTGATTGTCAGGCATGAAACAAAAATATCAAATTTTCTGTCTGTCAATATCCGATAGGATTAACTGACATACAGTAATTGTAATTCAACTTAATTCAATGAATTAATATTTATGGTATTACATTATTATTTAACAATACACCGTACATTGTTATTTAAAATTATTTAAAGATAGAATACATTTTCGAATACTCTGTATGGGTATCTAATTCGACGTCTCAATTAAAAACAAGAAAGAAAAAGATATGATAATATAATCGTCGCATTTCTTTCTGTCGTAGCTGAATAAGCAAAAATTTACATTTTTTTGCACATGTCGTACGATAATACGGATCACAGGCCAGTAACCTGTTATCGCGTGATGTTGAATTAAAATGAAAGCTATGTTGGAAAGTTTTTAGTGTATCGAATGCGGAAAATGCACAAAAATATTGTAAATTAGAGAAATAATAACAAACACGAATACGTATGTATTTAGTGGAGGAAATCCTTGCGTTGTTATGTGTTTTATGTATGGTAATTTTGCAAGGATTGGATACTACTGATAGGAAAATATCTTGTAAGCAGTGAATCATTCCATACATATAAATCAGTGGTGGACTGATAATGTATCCACATAGTAATTTGACAATTTAGAAACTTGTAGACTAAGAAATTTAAAATGCAGAAATTCAGAAATATACAAAGTCAATACTTTCAAATGTACATAGAAATATAGAAGTTTAAAAATATAGAAATTTAAAAATTACAAAATTACAAAATTAAAAAATTGAAAAATTGAAAAATTGAAGAATTGAAGAATTAAAAAATTGAAAATTTATAAATATAAAAGTTCAGAAATTTAGAAGTTAAAAAATGTAGAAATTTAGAAGTTTAAAAATTTAGAACTTTAGATATTGCAAAATTTTAAGTCCATAACTAGCGTAGGATAGAAAAAATACAAAGTGAAAAAATAATTTTGTCTAATCTAAAAAAAATATAGAAAAGGTTGCGTGGGTCAGGTTAAACGGCCACTAATGTTTTCTTTTTTTCGAAATAACGTAATTGCTCGTATGTTTTGATATGCAAAAGCTACACCGATAGCGTGATACAAAAAAAGATATACTTACGTACGAAGTGAAAAATGCACGTGATCGTTAAATGATTACGAAAACTGTAATCCATGTGTCTATATGACATAACACAGTAAAAGATATATCTATGCTTTCTTTATCAAATCGTCACATTTTCTGATTCGTCTACGGACACATTTTCGGTTATTTCTCATTTTCGCGATATTTTGCTAACTTGTTCAATACGACACAGTTGTAAAAAACCACGTGTAAACATTGGTTTGATTATAATGAAGCATGTAAAATGAAAACATGCAAAGGTCGAAAAATAGAGCAATTCCGTAATTTCTTTTGAAATACGGAGTATGAAGGCAAAGTGCAATTATTCAATATCTGAATTGTTTTGTCTCAAATTCTGACAGGGCTGTTCCACAATTTGTGGGGCCCTGGGCAAAAATATTATTCAAATTTAAGCAGATGAAAGTTTTAACAAAATTTTACTTTTCATATAGTAATTAATAATTCTAGTAAACTTATATTTTATTTTAAACAATTTTACTGATATTTCCTGAATGAAGCAATATTTGAATTTATACAAAATATCACTGTAATTGTTTATTATTGTATTTCTGAATTTACAGCAATTTTAATTTAATTTTTAATTTTATCACAATTCTTGTAGTAAATCAAAATAATAGTACTGAAGAAACTGTGCAAAATTCAAAATTTGTTTATAAGAAGTTTAACATTTAACAAATTATTTTTACATACTTTCAATGATTTTCAATTTAATTCAAAATATAAATTCATATTCCTGTAATTACAAATCATACTTCATTTATTTATACTTCAAACGCAAAATTAAAATAAACACTATCTTACGTTCATCAAACGTAGTTATTAAAAAAAATGTTTGAACTACTTAAAAAATAGTCATGTTAAATCGTTTTTCAATTACACAATAGTTTTATCGTTAGTCATAAAGAAAGAAAACACAATGACTCACTTTCAACGTCATGTTCGAATCAGCTCTTTTCGCGTCAGTGAAAATGCTTCTTGAACGCATTTTGCGTCAAAAAATTTCAATTTAAAATTACTTACCCTTTTCGTTGTCCGTTACGATTATCTTTCGAGTGCGGGTTTCCCATTGGTGCAAGATTGAAAAGCAGACACGTTCAACAAAAACGACTGTTCATAATTCAACGGAATCGTGAATCTAGCACTGTGCCCTTGTTACAAAAATCGTTTTCTTTTTAAAGCAACTTTCGTTCAGTGAAATCGATCCTTCCGAGCACGAGTAGATCGCAAACGTAACTGACGTTCGCGCGAACTAACCAAAGAACGTGTGCGCCTGCTTATTTGATGCAACTTCGTCATCGCAGAAAACGGCCTTAAGGCCGACATTTTTCCCGTATGTCTTTCTTTTTTAAACAGGTGATTCGAAAGCTATTAAACTACGCAGTGTTACAATTAAAAAGAAACCTGACATTGCTGCGTCTGTTAGGTTAGGTCATTGTGGGTTGTCCTGATTCGAATTTGTTCGAACGGTGAAATGTGACGGGTTTTCGAAAGGAGACTGGTACGGGTTCGTACGAAGCAATTTTTACAGTGACAGGACACGTTGCATAACAATTTTTCGAATCGAATGTAATTTGCGTGAAACTCCTTTGTTCATGCAAATTGCCTGTTATTGTTCTACGGAAGATTGTGTATGAGTTTCGATAAATTGCCGATAGGAACACGTCAATAAAAGTGCGGTACTTGTGTACATAAGTACGTCAACATAAAAAAAAGTTTGAAGTTTGCACTTTGTGCATTCGCATCGTGAATGGTTCGATACTTTTTGCCTGTTTTACACTTTACGCAATTACAGAGTTTAATTATGTGTAACATGTGTGTATGTTTAGTATGTACATACACGAATGAGATAAAAGTTCAAATTTGATTAACCTGAATCGGATTATGCTGAAAAAATATTGAACAGGAATACCGAAATGATTGTTAATATTTACGGAATTATCACAGCGAAGATAAACGGAGAACGATAAGAAAAATCATGCTAACATCGCGCGACAAACTTATGACAGTCTCCTGATGCTTTAATATTTATTACTTGCATTATCAATTGATACTTAGTGTAAAACGTAAATATACAAGTAATCTTGTCGGTCTATGGCCTCTTACGTATAAACATTAATAAAATGGCAGAATCATCAGACGATGTGAAATGACTCGTACGATTACGTTCGAAGACACGCTTTCGTGTTATGTCAACTAGGATGTACTTACCGTGCCGATGAACTAGTATCATTATCTGAGCCGGTTGAACAATCTGGGCACCCTAACCTGCGAAACGGGAAATTGTGGAAATTTCGTGTTACGGCTATGAAATCAACTGACTTACTTCGTGTAATCGTACATGATTAACTTTTTGATTACTTTATGCAATCCTCTTAAGTTTTGATTGACTTTAATTACAACCATGAAAAAAGCTGGGGTTCACTATCCTTTTTCAATATTTATTGATGTGAAGTTAGCTTGGAAAACAAAAGAGTGAACCTTTGATAAATTGAATTTGATTTTGGGATTTAGGGATTTGAGGATTTGGAGATTTGGGCAATTGGAGATTTGGAAATTTGGGGATTTGGGGATTTGGGGATTTGGGGACTTTGGGAATTTGGGAATTTGGAAATTTGAGGATTTGGGGATTTGGGGATTTGGGGTCTTTGGGAATTTGGAAATTTAGGAGTTTGGGGATTTGGGGATTTGGCGACTTTGGAAATTTGGAGATTTGAGGATTTTAAGGCTTTGGCTAATTGCAGATTTGGGAACTTGAGGATTTGGAGATTTGGGGATTTGGGGACTTTGGGAATTTGGAAATTTGGGAGTTTGGGGATTTGGGGACTTTGGAAATTTGGGAGTTTGGGAATTTGGGGAGTTTGGAAATTTGGGAGTTTGGGGATTTAAGAATTTAAGGATTTAAAGATTTAAAGATTTGAAGATTTGAAGATTTGAGAATTTGAGGTTTTGCAAATATGGGAATTTTTAGAGTTAGATACTTGGAAACTTGGGAATTTGTGAATTTGAGAATTTATAGATAAAGGAATTAGAGAGTTTGAGGATTTTATAATTTGTAAATTTGCAAATTTAGGTATTTTGTAATTTATGAACTTAGAGATTTGTAAACTTGAAAATTTATAAATTTATAAATTTATAAACTTGTAAATTTGTAAATTTGATCCCCAAAAATCAAATAAAAATGATGGTCCCTCCCTCATCACTCAATCTGAACCTGAGGGTTGTAGTATATTTATTTAGATATTTTTTCACAAAGAACATTTTTATAAATATTTGCAAAGCGATAATACTATTACCTGGCACAGTTTTCGACAATTTCATCATCATCTTACGGAAATTACACGGTTCAATCTATCGGAAAAGAGTTTATTGTGACGCATCCTGCATACAATGATCTTATTAATATAGCGATCTTTGTGAAACTAAGCCACAGAATGCTCACTTTCACCGTTACGCACTTTATAATTGCTAATTAACCACGCAGTGCGTCCGTATAGTGAAAGTTAAAATTGGTCACATACCCTTTATCCCACTTTTCTGTTCTACTAAATAATTCGTAACTTACATTTAATAGCGCAAATATTATATACAAGTAAATAAAAAAAAATATATTAAGAAGAAATTTGTAGAAACATGGAGTTTTTTGATTTAATATATCGCTATTTTTGCAGCGTAATACAGTTACGTTGATTGAACATATTTTAATTATGGATTTGTTACATAGTCTTCTAATGAACATAATCGCCGTACTGTGTGTCATTAAGTACAGAGAACTGTTCATTAAGTCATGGTTCAAGGTAGGTTTGAAGTATCAATTATAATGTGTCTGATTTATAGTTCATTTCAACGTTATATGTAAGAAGCTATTTTTAATATCCTATCTTAATAAAATAGTATTTTTTTTTTAATAACACACAAGAGAAAAATTAAAAAAAAACTTAATAACTGTAACGTAACAATTTATTATATAACATAATTACGTAATTGACTGTAATGAAAATTAAAATAAATAAAGTATTTATTGCGTGAATGTGTTAAAACGTTAGTAAATGTTAGACAATTATTTTGCGATATGTATCACGCGAAGTTTAAGTTGTAGCGTTATATTATTCATTTTTGTACTATTTCTGAGTTTTGCATAAATATTTATTAAAAAATAATAATGAATATTATTTGTACGTTATAATGTTTATATTGGAACGTGGTTGTTACATGGCTCGTTGGTCTAGGGGTATGATTCTCGCTTCGGGTGCGAGAGGTCCCGGGTTCAAATCCCGGACGAGCCCAATTTGTTGCAATACTTTTTGTTTTCCAAATTTTTATTTTAATTTTTAATTATTTTACATTTAATAACATCCAATAGATTACACCTACTTTCATTTTTTAAACGATAAAAAGATACTGATATATTTTCGATATTATTGATTACTTTAAACATGGCGCTCGCGTGGAACTCATCGAAGAAGCACAGCGATCGAGAAAGGTAAACTTAGCAAACCAAGTACCTAGTTATAACCACTTCAACTATATATTTAATAAATAAACTTTAATTTATCAATAATGGTATTTATATGTTTGATTTTATTCATTGTACGTGTTATAAACACACCATCTGCTACATAACCTATTTGACGCGAAACTGACAGAAGCATGATTATTTTGATTTTGTTATAGGTGGATTTGCATCTATCCTGTGTATCTAAATAGTAAGAGAACTTTAGCAGGAGGTCGCAAACTTGCGAAAGATAAGTGTGTCGAAAATCCCACACATCAAGAGATTCGTGATGTTTTGGTAGCAGCTGGTTTTAATGTTGGAGTAGAGAATAAGCTGCATCCAAGAGAGCGCAGTAAAGAATTGCTGTATCGTGGTCGGATTCGTGTTCAATTAAAAAATGATGATGGTACTCCTGTGAAACCTGAATTTCCTTCAAGAGATTCTGTACTGGCTTATATAGGTACCACGATTCCAAAATTAAAAACACGACAGGGAAAGCAGACTACTGGCGAACAGTCTGCACAGGCATCGAGTTCATCGTCCAAGAAAGGAAAAGGAAAGGGAAGGAGATGATAATATGAAATGGGCATAACAATGCTTACAAATAATTTCCATTTTTCATTTATATGTGTCTTAATATCGGAATGAAAATTGTTCCACTGTACAAAAAGATATTGTATTATGTCTTGTATAAAATTTCTAACTAGCACTGAAGATTGTATATCAAATGTTTAATATTACAGTATGTGCCGTACATCCTTTGAAAATTTAAAAATTTTCTTGTATTGAATTATATTGTACTTCCACTTCTGTCACATCTCAAATTTCATAGTTCTGTTTTTGTCAATTAATCATTTTAATTCAATCAATATTGATCTTAATTTACATCTTGATCTTTGTCATTAACACAATCTGTCACATTTTTTCCTGCATCTGAATTATTGTCTACATTGTCAGCAGATTCTTTTTGAGTTGCACCAACGATAGGAGATGATGGCTCTGATTCCTTATTGTGGGGTACATATCGTACAATGTATCCAGTGGGTTGAGGATGGGTAGGCTGAGAGAGTGGTGTATTTGACCGGTGAATCTGTAAACATAATATATACTTCATATAATCTTTGTTAGTGTAAAAACATTTGCTATAAAACTGTATGTACTTTATTGAAACCGTTTCGGGATGCTCCTACAATAGGTGAATCTTGTCCCATTAAATACGTCAAATTATTTCCAGAATTTTTTCTAGCTTTAGCACGTTTTGACATCTAGCAACAGATTTAGAGAAAAATGTGCAATGTAAATTTCTCATTTTCTTTGACACAATACAGTTTTGAATAAAATTTTGAATGCTAGTAGTTATTTGTACATTCGATATATCTTATTACTTACTTTATTAGTACTTCCAAGAAGGGGAGAACCTCCAGTTAGTCCTTGGGGTTTTAAAATGTCATGTAGATGTGATTGCGCCTGTAGTAAACCATGTACTGGCATACTAGCTGCTTTTACTAAAGCACTAGGAATGTTGTGTAAAGTATTAATGTGTGGATGAAATCGGGGATGTAAAATAGAACCTAGGAAACTATGATGTGGTATATGTGGGATAAGTGGTAACGCATGCAAAGGTGGCAATGCAGGAGGTTTATACAAATTTGGTGGTTGAACTATTGGTTTGTGTATTGGTAATGCTGGTACATGCACAGCTCCAGTAATAGGGTCAGACCCATTTGTACTTGGATTTTCTTCATTTACAGTTGAATTTGAATTTTCACTTATTGGGTTACTCATTCCAACTATATTGGTTTCAGTATTATTTGAATCACAGTCTGATGATCTTGTAAAGTGAGCATGACCTTTCAATGGTCCTCCAGTGAGGAAGTAATTTGCAATTTGATGGGCATCTCCTAAGGTTCATGAAGAAAATGCAAGATTAATATAATTCTAAATTATTAACACATACAGCTTATTTTTTTATACCTAATCTAAGGTGTTTAGATTCTGTCCCACGTGGAACTCGACTTTTCTCAACCAACTTAGAGTCGATGTTAGATGCTTTTATTCCTCTTTCAGCTCGTACTGTATCCAAAATGTATAAAGAAAATAAGATTAAGCAAATTATTGCATTTTATATTAATGGAATATGTATATATGGAAATAATTATGACATAAAATTTATTACACATCAATGTGTATTACCTCTATGATAATTGTATAAGTCAGGACCTTTTACTGGATCAAATAGTTGCATTTTATTACATTTAGCACAAATAATACCGCACTTATAGGTCTGAGTATAATAGAAAACAACAATTAAAAATAATAATTGATACTTTTTCATATTTAGAGATAATTAAACTTATGCATATACTTTGAAAGGCGAAGTGCAAACTGAAATTTTGCACGGCCAAACCTGAAATTTATTGACTTTTCAACAATAAAAGTTGCTGACAATATATAAAACATGTCCTTATTTTTAAACAACTGATACAAATAATGAATGTTTCCTTCCGTATTTTTGATTGCAACATACTTCGTCAGAAACCATCATTAATTCATGAGTGGTCCTTATAATTTTTCAAATAGATAAAAATATTTAATTGTACAATATTACATATTTTAATAAATTGTGAAAAATGAAAGTTGAATAGCAAGGAATTAAAATTAGAAAAATATTCTAGTCATATATATGCTTCGGGGAATATTGTAAATTGCGTTATTAATGTAATTATGTTAACATTGAAAAAAGCAAAAATTAAACCTTGCCCGTGACAATGCTTTTCGCATTGCCGTGACCAGGATTCGAACCTGGGTTACTACGGCCACAACGTAGGGTCCTAACCACTAGACGATCACGGCTATTGAAGGTCATATTAATCGTTTTTATTTCTTATTATATATAATACATCTCTTTTGTATTATATATAATCATGTACGGTTTCATTCTTTTAAATTAAACGCATACAAACATGAAAAGAAAACATCTTTTACTACTTTAACAAAAATGAATGAGTCATTGTGTATACGGAACATTCTTATAAGATAAGCAAAGAACACATTTCTGCTGAAAATAATATTTATTGTAGAGATACAACTTGATGTATATACAAATTATGAATATAGTATTGAAAAGAACGTCGTTGAATTTATTATTGAGCGAGCGAATTTATTATTGAACACGCATATAAAGAAAATAAAAAAATGAATATATCGGCACTTTGACGACGTAGTATGGTTCCTGAGACATTTAGAAACAAATTTCTATTAGGATTTAATGCGTTTTGATGCCTAATAAAGCCAGAAAATCAATTTTTGTCGAATTTGGTCGAAAACGGTACAGGTGGCGCCATCTAGCGGCGAGCGGCGGAACTACGAAAAACTAAAATTTCTATTTTCTCCGAAATTAGGCAATTTTACGTATTTCTGAGGGTCAGAAATTGTTTTGTGACCTCTCTAGAACGTACATAATGCCATTAGAACCTCCTCAGAGCACTAGAAAAGAAAATAAAAAAATAGGCTAAAACATGGACTAAAAAATTGCCGTCCATCTAGCAGTGAAAGTTGGAACTACAAAAATATAAAAATGCGATTTTTTCGAAAATTAGCGAACTTTGAGTATTTCTGAGGCTCAGAAAGTGTTATGTGATCGCATTAAAAGCAACATAAAGCCATAAAAGTTTCCTGAAAGCTTTAATAAGGAAAATAAAAAATATGTCATTTTATGGAGAAAATTTGTGGCGCCATCTAGCGGCGAAACTGCGAACTAAAATGGAAAAACGTATGTCCGTACACGCGTTAAGGAAAAATATAAAAAGTAATATTTCGCACCTTTTACGACGTAGTATGCTTCCTTAGACTTTTTAAAGCAATGTTTGTCGAATAAGTTATTCATTGTTTTGCCTATTAAGCCCAGAAAATCAATTTTTATTTGACCCCTTTACTGCGTGTTTGGACATACGGTTTTTCATTTTAGTTCGCAGCTTCGCCGCTAGATGGCGCCACAAATTTTCTCCATAAAATGACATATTTTTTATTTTTCTTATTAAAGCTTTCAGGAAACTTTCATGGCTTTATGTTGCTTGTAATGCGATCACATAACACTTTCTGAGCCTCAGAAGTACTCAAAGTTCGCTAATTTTCGAGAAGATCGCATTTTTATATTTTTGTAGTTCCAACTTTCACCGCTAGATGGACGCCAATTTTTTAGTCCATGTTTTGGCCTATTTTTTTATTTTCTTTTCTAGTGCTCTGAGGAGGTTCTAGTGGCATTATATACGTTCTAGAGAGGTCAGAAAACAATTTCTGACCCTCAGAAATACGTAAAATTGCCTAATTTCGGAGAAAATAGAAATTTTAGTTTTTCGTAGTTCCGCCGCTCGCCGCTAGATGGCGCCACCCATACCGTTTTCGACCAAATTCGACAAAAATTGATTTTCTGGTTTTATTAGGCATCGAAACGCATCAAACCCTGAAAGAAATTTGTTTCTAAATGCCTCAGGAACCATACTATGTCGACAAAGTGCCGAAATATTGCACTTTGTATGCGCAGTAAAATTGGCATAGGCAGCTCATGTACGTATAGGAATGCAGACACAAAATAATTACTCATTATTCGAACATTATTTATGAACTTTTATGATCGAACCATGTAAATAATGCATTGCTGACCATTCTTCAATCATAAACGTGCACAAAATATATCCACAAAACGTGTAATTAATTATTCAAAATGACCTCGTGTATACCGCTTGTCACCGTGGCTGGTCTAGGTTATTAGTTATTAACAAATTAATTTTATTAAAAGTCTGAGCAAATATGATACGAGAAAGTAGCTGAGAAAGTAACTGAACATTCTTTAATAATAAAAGTGCATAGACTGTGATCAGAAAGTGAGTAATTAATTTGTCTAATTAGCTTGTTTTCTGTCTTTCGAATCGCCATCTACGGCAGAAACTTAGAACTATTTAAAATGCAGTTTCAAAAGTGTGTAGTTCACCCTGTTCGCCGGAGAGATGGCGCCATTTGTTTTATTAAAAAAAAAAGTTAATTAATTTTGATTTCATCGATTAATATTCTATACATTTATGACATATATTTATTAATATTAACTTTATACTGTCTGCAATATATTCAGTGTGTCCGAAAATGCAGATATATTTTTCTTCATAATGCATTGCAATATACATTTTATTGTACGAAACACTTTTCGAGTAATTTCCTATGTTTCCATATTATTATAACCATATTATTAGTACCAGTCACAGATATGTTTAGTCAACAGTACAGTGACAATAATTTGCATGTACATTGACAGAGGGCGATAAGAGTGACTTCAGCGACAACAACCAAAACACCTCCTCGTGATTTCTGGTTTTCTAGTAATGTCCGGCTTTTAGCGACCGCCGTTGCTACCGCGGCGTCGTGGTTTTAGCAACAGTGTTTCAATTCGTATAAAAAGTAGCATGCATAAAAACGTACGGAACACGGAAATTTTCAATGTCGTGAATCGAGGAAAAGATGCATGGCTCCCGACGACCGTAAAGACGTGGACCTCGAACGCCACGACATATTCGGAGGAGGATTCCCGCGCGAATCATGCGCAGGAATGTATCTACCTAATTCGGGTACCGACGCTACCAACGTGAAAATATGCAAATCCACATTCCGCCTTGAAGAGAGAAGGTAATCTCAAAATTCGCTTCGACCGTATAGCTACTCCAGTAAAGTATTCATGCATATGAATTTCAATACGTAAATAATGATTTTATCATAGGAATCTCCAGTTTATAAGACACGTTTCACGTCTAGTACGGTCCTGCAGGGAAGATATATCTCGCACGCAACTCCCGTGCGGTTCCTGCTACCCTGATCATGAGAATCTCCAAAAGAGTCTACCTCAACGGCATTTGGTCGTCCAGTATTATCTTGTATGCATATTGTTTCACTATCTCTCCGTATCTTTTTAACCTTTGAGGAACCTCAGTCATATTTCGTAACGGTGTGTCCGGAGGTATTTGTGCAACTTACGCTTTGGAAATGGCTGCCTTTAAATTATTTGCAGATATAATCTGCAAGATAACCGTACAAGGAAGAGACAGTTCAGATACGTATGTATGTTTAATACATAGAATATATGAGTACAATAAATATTCGAATGACTCTACGTTTTCAGAAAGTGATTCTGAGTGAAGATGATTTTCAATTTACCACTGCAGCTTTTCCGCTTGCGTCATCAATCCCGCATAGTGTCCTCAATATTTTTAATTAATTTATCAATGCATTTGAAGCAGTCTTGCAGGTTCTTGAGATCAATTTCGCACACCTAATAAGGACGCGTGGTTAATCAGTGTTTAGAATACATAATAAGTTTAATATAAAAAGAATACCCTTTTGGTGAAATCCGTTTTAAGTCTTTTATCCTTTAACATCATGGTTTCACCTGTTCTTAGGTTTTGAAACGTCTTCAGCCGTAAGAGGCCTAATTTTTTTTGAAACTGTTTTATGTCTCCATCATAAATTGTTTCCAATTCATGAAGTTTGCCGTGTAGCTTTCGTTGTCTTTTTCCTAACTTATCCACTTTCTTTGTGAACTCTCTTATGTCCTTATAAGCTTGCCAATAGTCCCTTCTCATTCGAAATCTAAACTCTTCTTTTATCTGTACACAGTAATAAACTATTATTTGACCAGTTGTTTGTTTTCAGTAGGGCAGAAGGAATCAGTAGATCTAGGAATATTAGGGGTATAGGGGTTTAAAAATATAGGGACTTGGGGATATTGGGATATAGGAGTAGTGTATGAATTTTGGAGTATTGGGATTTAGGGATGTAGGGACTGTAGGGAATTAGAATTTACAGAAATAGAGATCTAGGTGTATAGGAATCTTGGAATGTAGAGATCTAGGGATATTAGAATTTAGAAAACTAGAGATTTAGGTGCATAGGAATCTTGGAATATAGAGATCTAGGGATATTAGAATTTACAGAGCTGGAGATCTAGGGAAATTAGAATTTACAGAAGTAGAGATCTAGGTGTATAGGAATCTTGGAATGTAGAAATCTAGGGATATTAAAATTTACAGAGCTAGAGATCTAGGGAAATTAAAATTTACAGAACTAGAGATCTAGGTGTATAGGAATTTTGGAATGTAGAGATCTAAGGATATTAGAATTTACAGAGCTAATAATTTAGGGATCTAGATGTATAGTAATGTTGGAATATAAAGATTTAGAAGTATTCTAATCTATCTCCAAATGAAGACTATAATAATATAGTCATTCTTCTTCTTCTTCTAATTAATAACTAGAAAGGTTTTGCAACAGAATATTAAAATTGCAGTTTTTCCTACACCTATACATGTTGCAGTTGAAAAGAAATTTATATACTTTCAATCTAAAATAGATTAATATTTTTTGTTATCTTAAGCAGCATAAATCCTTCCTTCCACAATGACAAATACAGAAGTACAGAGTTGGAATATTAAGGTAACTGTGTAAACGACCAGAGTAACTGTACAAACGTTGTAATTACCTTAGCAAGTTCAATTTGTACTCTTGTTCTATATTCTAACTCCATGTTTGGATACTTATTGAGTGTTCTATTGACTCTCGATCGATTCCTTTGTATCCACGACGCGACCTTCTCGTCTATAGTTTCCTCTCCGTAATCAATCATGAACGATAGTTCTTCGTTAACGTTATCAGCTACTCGCGCTATTACCTCGCCGCTCCAATATAACACACGATCTTTTTCCTGCAACAAATGATCCCATGTGTTTGGCAAACGTCCGACGGCTTGTCCCATTGTTGCTGCTCGAATCCGCCAAAATGCAAACACGACCGATGATCTATAGTTTCGACGCCATCTGCTTAAGAATCATGTAAACAGAGTCGCCAACGATGATGTATTTGCCTGTCTCGTACGCTTTCGACTCGCATCGCTTTAATCGAAACACAGAGGTAAGTAATAAACGCGCTGTTTATTCGGTTTCGCAAAACGATTAATTTATTTTCTCCCGTATTTTTGTTCGCGACAGTAAACAGATCAAAGTGTGCTTGGCGTTCCTGTGTGCGTCGAACATTTTGCTGATAGCAAAAGACTGTATTGCGTTTCGTGGAACTGAGCTGTTCCACGAAACTGCTACATACGTGCTTCTGAATATTTTTCAATGCGATTTGCGACGTTTTAATATACACAGCTACTGAAATATTGTGCACCAGTCGATCACAGCTGTAATTGCATAGGTTTTTAATTTCTTGACGGTGTAGTTTATAAAGTGTCTACGGCGAGATTTTATAATGAGTTCCTTTAAGGCCATTCTACAACCTTGACGTTAAATTATAACCTAAAAAATATAAGTAAAATATTTCATAATATTTATAGTGAATTTTATAAAATTTAATTTGTTATTTTTATTTACCATAAGTTGAAAGAACAATGTTCTACTTAAAGTTCGTTTTTCAGTGTCGCTTGGAAAAGTGAGGGTACTTTTTTATCTGACTTTTTGCGCCATATTGTTTGTCAGCGTGTAAGCATATAAACGTGGACGGATAATGGTAGCAAAGTTTGCCGTGATTCGCCACAAAAGGTTGATTCTTCGCAAAGTGTCCGTCAGGATTACATTGAGCGTGATTTCACGGTATCAGACGTGGAAAAAGGAACTAGAGCGGATATCCGTCCGTCTCGAAAGTCCGCGAAATTCAATCGGCACAGTGCTCGTGTCGGGGTGTCAATTCAAAGCAACGTAATCTCCGTTCAACCCGACCAATAATCGGCTTATTGATTTCGATTCGACGCTAAAGCGTTGTTCACAACGACGCGGTTTAATTGTTATTCCACATTATTTACTTGTTTGATTTTTCTTTATTTTAATTTTCAATTGTCTCGCGTTTTGATTTGTACAATTTTATATTTATATTGGTTTCATGTATTTTATGCACTTTATGCATTTTATATAGTTTAAGAAATTTATATCTTTTATATTATGGTATTATAATTATTATTTTTATAATTCATTTAATTTAGTTAATTTATTTAATTTTTTTAGTTCATTTCGTTTGTTTAATTTATTTAATTTATTGAATTTATTTAATTCATTTAATTCACTTAATTTATTTAGTTTGTTTAGTTTGTTTAGTTTGTTTAGTTTGTTTAGTTTATTTAGTTTATTTAGTTTATTTAGTTTATTTAGTTTATTTAGTTTATTTAATTCACTTAATTTTTATAATTCATTTAATTTATTTCATTTATTTATTTTATTGAATTAATTTAATTTATGTAATTCATATAACTCATATAACTTATATAATAGACATGTTATAGCAATCATTAAATGTCTCATTTATAGCAAAAGTAAAATAATATTTTTTAATCACACAAGTTTAACAACAACAATGAAAATTAAATTTTCTAAAAAATTAAAATTATCAAATCTTCATCACAAACACATTAAATAATATTTAGAGAACAAATTTTATACCTAAAAAATATTGCAAATTAAAAATTAATTTTTCATATATGTATTAAAATTTGTAATATTTATATTTTGATTTATAAAGTTACTAGTAACATTCATCAATATTTGTTGTGTATTTTAAATATTCTTTTCTCTTTTCGTTATTGCAGGAATATTGAAATATTTGTTGAAGCATGCTGCGCTGAAAAATTATTTTAACGATTTTCACAGCGTAGAAATTTCTACTTCGACGGATTTTATTAGAAAAAAATTTAATTACAAATACTTCATAGAGAGAATATTTATTTTTTTGAAGGGTTCATTGATTGTTTATAATATATATACAATCTTTTTTGTATCGTGTTTCACAAAATGTATGTGCCTTTCAGGAGATAAAACATTTTTAATATCAAACCTTTTGTGTTGTTAAAATATTAATAAAGTATTTATTTTATGTTTTTCCATTTTCTTCGTTTCCATATTTAATTTTCAGTGATTTCTAAATTTTACTGATATTTTCTCAATTATGTTGGATGAAGTTATGGTAAGTTAATTTTTTACATAATTTTATTATTTAAAAATATAGAACTTACAATTTGATTCTTTTGTATAAAATTATTAATTATAACAGTTATTATACTAATAATTACTCAAATATCGAATAAAAAGTTAACATATTTATTATAATAGTAATCAGATTATAAGAGTAATTATAATAATAATCATGTTAATTGTAGTAGTAATCAGAACATAACAATAATTACATTAATTACAATAGTAATTACATCAATAATTACTTTAGCATCGAGTGTAAAATGAACATGTATATTAAGTAATAATTATCATAATAATAATAATAATACTAATTATATTTACTTAAATATTGAATGACATGTATCGTAATAGTAACTACATTACAATAGTAATTAATATTATTAATCATATCAGTATAATAACAAATATGCCAGTAATCACTTCAGTATCGAGTTAAGCACAGTAATTAGATATAAAGAAAGGTGTGAACGTAACTTAAAGCCGTCCCTGACCGCCACCGTTATCGTATCCGATGCTTCATTGACCACATCCTAACCTACATCAGGTGTGCGTCACACCGGATTGCGTGTGCACCTGAATACGTGTAAATCCACTCTACTCGCACCTACATGTACACATACATATACAGGCGGAAGTGTAGTTCGTTACACGGCACGTGTTGTCCCGTGACGACGACACGTACCCTGGACGAGATTGCTACTCTTAGTCACTCGCTTTACCCCTCTGTAAATAAGGGTGCTTCGGGGAAAAACGCTTTATCGCGGGAAATCCGGATAACGGTAATCCGCGCGACTCTATATTTTCATGAGAGTTAATGGAAAAAATAGAAACCGTACTTGACGCTCTTTTTCTCTACCACAGTTATCCCCTTAGACATTTTTTAGTTGAAAATGACACTTTATTTCATTTATCTTAAGCTTCCTGCTTATTTAACTGTTTATCCACCATATTTATTATAGTACTGTTATTTATTCATTCAATTTTAGTTGAAATATGATGTGAACAAATGTTACTTGTTCAATTATTAAGATTGTTCATATCTATCACTACTAATTACTGCATTTAAATAATTATCAAACACAGTTTTTATATTTAATATTATTATCATTATTATTTTATACATTGCTCCTTACTAGAAATTTAATTTTTTATATTAATCAAGCATATCATTAATTAATTGTATTAATGACATGTACAAATGTTGCTTGTTCAATCATTAAGATTGTTTATATCTATTACTACTAATTACTGCATTTAAATAATTATCAAACACAGTTTTTATATTTAATATTATTATCATTATTATTTTATACATTATTCGTTACTAGAAATTTAATTTTTTATATTTATTAATTATATTAATAGCATGTACAGATGTAGCTTGTTCAATCATTAAGATTGTTTATATCTATTACTACTAATTACTGCATTTAAATAATTATCAAACACAGTTTTTATATTTAATATTATTATCATTATTATTTTATACATTATTCGTTACTAGAAATTTAATTTTTTATATTTATTAATTATATTAATGGCATGTACAGATGTTGCTTGTTCAATCATTAAGATTGTTCATATCTATCACTACTAATTACTGCATTTAAATAATTATATTTCTGTGATTATGATAATTATTATATGACACGTCAGTATCATAAAATAGCACAGTACATCCACTTACAGTTCAAAGTTTTTAGAAAATGGCTACCTAAATTCTTTACTAACATACCAAATACAAAATGGCTGATTCATACACAGACCCTTTAAAACACAAAATTTTAAGTAAATCTATCATTTTGTTAATTCAAGCCTCGCAAAGTAAGTGCTTTTAAAACAGCTACCAAATCTTGCCAAATGATAACCCATCGAAGAAAATTGATTTAATCCAATAAACCTCCTCGTATCTTTTCTCACCAAACATTAAACTTATCCTTTAAATTCTCTGCGTGAAATATCACCGAAGATTCGATCGACTATTTCCGCAGAAGTTTCCAACTAAAATTTGTAAGAGAAGCAAAAAGAAAACGTCGAAGTTGGCAAAACTCTCGGTAAGTTCGAAAAAGATCGATCTTAACTCATCAAAGGATTAATCAGTGTATCAGATCGGTTGAACGTCTTAATATTTCAGTTGATGCGATCTACATCTTTCCTGCTCCCTATGGAGCTGTTAATCTTACGGTTTTAGGTGTCTGAATACTAGCGGAATGCGTTATCAAGCTCGTGTGATGGCTGTATCCGCAGACGAGCTAATTAAGCCAGTCCAATTATATATCTGTTGCAAAGACACGGTTACATCTTCCCTCCGTGAAATCCTCTTACACGAGATGCGTTATCAGTGCACGTTTAAGAGGCTTTAGGCTACTGATTGAATTTTTAAATCTGCCGAGATTTCAATTAGGAACGGACCCTCGTTCAGTGATCGAATTACGCTGTTCTTTGGACCAAGTGTTTCTGATGGAATACCGTATGAAATTCAGAGATTTGGAACTTTTAGATATGGGGATTTCGAATTTTTTTGGAATTTTTAGACTTTTCGGATTTTGGAAGTTTAACGACCAGGGAGTTTAAGTTTAGGAGTTTTGTAAGTTGGGAGGTTTGAATTTAGGGTTTTCAAATTTGGGTGTCTTGCAAGCTAGGAGGTTCTACTTTGAGGTTTTTCAAATTTGGGACGTTTGGAATTTGAGAAGTTTGACTATAGAATTTTCTGAATTTGAGACTTTTGGGACCTGACAAGCTTAATTCTGGCATTTTCTAGATTTGGGACTTTTGGTACTCAGGAAGATTGACTTTGAGATATTTCAAATTTGGGA